ACCTTCCAGTGCCCAAAGAGGCCAACAAGAAACCTGAGGAGCTCTTGGCAAGGGCAAGTAAGGACAGGACAAGGAGGAATGGCTTTAAACTGACAGAATGGAGACTGAGATCTGAGGAAGAAGTTCTTCCCTGTGAGGGTGGTGAGGCCCTGGCACAGGTTGCCCAGAGAAGCTGTGGCTGCCCCATCCCTGGCAGTGTTCAAGGCCAGGTTGGACGGGGCTTGGAGCAACCTGGTCTAGTGGAAGGTGTCCCTGCCTATGGCAGGGGGCTGGAACTGGATGAGCTTTAAAGGACTCTTTCAATTCAAACCAGTCTGTGATTTTACGATAAAGGCAGAGTGTTCTGCCATTGAAAGCCTGATGTGACATACACAGGCTTATTCAGCATGCCTGACATCCTCACTACAGTTAGACTTGGGGTTTTTTTGGCCTTATCCAGCAGGCAAATACAAATGTTTTAGAGTCAATGATGCCAGGTGTGTGCCCTCAGCTCTCACTCAAGGCCACAGGAGGTGGCACCTCCCAGGAGAAGACCTCTTGTTTGCTTTGCACAGCACATACTGATGGGCCCTAATGTATTTCAGAGCTGAACTTTCCACATAATTGCTTTTTAGTGCTTCCCTGTGTCAGCCCATGAAATAGTGGATTTTGTATGTTAATGTCTTTCCCTGCATAATGAAGGAATAAATCTCCACTCTCCACAGCCCTATGTCACACTATCCTGACTGGTGTTTTACATTTTAATGTCCATTATTTTAAGCCTTTCTTACCATTCTCATATTGAGCAAAGGGAATGCTATAGGCCTCGGTGTTTTGCTTATTGCATACTTTAAGTGGGAACAGAAAGCAAAGACCTTTAAGGCCTCTTTGTTTTGTGTTACCATTTAATTACTTTCAAAATGGTTCTTCCAAGCAGCCTGGATCAGCCTTCCTAGGGCTAGAAATGACTCAAGGGAAAGATCTGCACCCTCAGGGATGAGGAGACACCTCCCCTTTCAGCTGCATCTTTCCCACTAGAAATAAGCTTAAGCCAACCTAAGACATGCATGAGCTCAAGGTCAGACTGTTATTCACCACCATAATTTGGCAAAAGGGAGCTACTATTGTATCTGGTGGGAAGGGATACTACATTTTATGTGCCTGCAGAGGTTAAGAGCTTCTCTCCTTGAGAACAGCCCTTCCCGAGGGGCCCGACAAATACTGGTGCATGTTATGACACCTGTTCAGTTTTCCCATTCTGCAGTGTAACTGTTCACTCCAAGTCCAAGATCCTCATTTCTGCCAGACTATCACTTTAGAGGGAAACCAGCGCACAGCAGTCAAATTTGAAAACATCGTTTTATTAAAGCCTTTTGGGTAAGAATGAAGGTAAGAGGATTAATTCCCACTTCCCACAGGGAGCTCAAACATGCCTTCACTTCCTACCGACATGATATTGTTTCTTTCCAGACTGTTCTCCAGAAGGCAATACCTTTAACAGAGATGTATTTGTGGACAAGCAGGAGGTACCTGTAAAAGCCAGGAGGAGTGGAATAAAGCCTCTGACCCCTTCAGCCTGCATCCTTAGCAGATGCACCTCACCATTGGGGTTAAGACATAAGGTTAAGATCAATTTACAAAAGCAAACACCACTGGGAAGAGACTGTTCAACTGTCCCCAACTCCTGCCTGCCCATTTCTGAGCTTGCTCCAAGAGCAGCTTTGGACACAAGAGCTGAGCATCATGAGGAGGTAACACATATGAAGATGGAGTTGCTCCTTTTCTTGAGGCCACCATTTCCCTCCTCCCCCACAAACAGTTTTCACATGCAATTAGGTCACATCTGAAAGCACAGAGCAGAGTTGAGTTACCTTGTTTAAAATAAAAACATGTATTTCTATCACCTTAGGAGTTGTTCCTCTTTTGGTAGAGGGACCCTCTGATCCTCCCACCTCCTTTTATCAGCACCTTCAAAAGAGAAAGCGAGTTATAATTGCTTTCTCCTCTCACCTTATGAAAAAAAGGGAAAGGCTGCTGTTCTCCTCTATGAGAATCCTGAAAAGAAACACACTTTGAGCAATCATTTATTTACAGAACAAAAATAACATCTAGGTTTCAAAGGGCAGAGTAGTTTGGAAGAGTAAGACACTCTCTCCTTCCTCCCCCGCCATCAGCTTTTGCTTATTACCACCTACTGTCTGCACAACCCATTGCTCTGCCTCTTGCTTCATTACAGGGGTACAGGCAGGCTTCTCCTTCTCGTGCGAGTACAGCAGTGAGTACGGCAGCACTGTATCTCAAACCTACTGCTGACATTTCCATGCTGCAAACCTGCAGCCCAGCAAGATCCAACGCTAAAAGGCCAAGTCAAGGCAACGAGTGGGATAGATCTTTAAAGCAGTACAATACTAAAGGATTTGCAGTTTCTCCCAGATCCACTTTACCCACAACTGCTTTCCTACATAAAGAATACACCTCACTTTTTACACATTGGAAACCAGCACAAGAACATAGCCCTTTACCCACCATGTTTTGCTCTTGCTACGGATTGTTACCGTGGAGGACCAGCGAGCAGTAGTTCCTTAAGCCTGGTTTCTTCCGGCTTGATTTTCACCCAACTCTTTGGTCCCCCGCTATTAGTCAGGGTCGTCTATGAGCACTGCTGTTCAAAGCATTGCTCTCCCAAAGTGCATCTGCTGACACCTGAGCCTATTAAATTCTGGTGGTGGGAAACCTGACTGTTTTGTCACATTAGGCCATTCATTCCTATAAATCCTGAAGAATTGCCATCTTCAGAGACATTATCAAAGGACGATGAAATTGGCCAAAAAAGCGTCCACAAGTTCTTAGTAGGGACTGACTGGTTGGACTAACTAATAGCCCTATTTCCATTAAGAGACTAGGCTAAAAATCTAACATCAATTTGCAAAATCCCCGCTACTCATTGCCAAGCAGCTGGAAAAGAACCCATGGGACTGTGTTACACCTTACTTGACACACTTCAAAATGCAAGTTTTGCAGGAAAAGCCTCTATAACGTGATGTCTGAAAGTTAAAAGCAAGACTGTTAAAGCTACAAAGAGATTATATCACAGCATAATCCGATCTGTTGCCTGGATAAGCAATTTCTAGAGACATATTTATAAATATAAATATATATACAAATATTTATATATTTATCAGTCACTTCTCAGTGTGTAGAAGACTGAATAAAAATCCTAACAGGTATCAGAGAGCACGCTGTCTCAGAGAAAGACACCTCGAGTTCAGGCAGATACTTCCTTCTGTAAGAGATCACATACAGGGTGCACTATGACAGCATTTGAAATCACCTTGATTTTGAAGGTCTTTGTTAAAGAGAAATGAGATTATTTTTAAAGTATTTGGAACACTTCCAAATGATACACTGAAGATGTATACAAAAATGAAACATCCACTCAACCCTGTTTCTAATACAATCACCTATTTCAAAACTAAATGAAGACAACCATTACAAAAAAGCCATTTATTAGATATATGTACATATATACATATGCATGCAAAATTATTTTATACACATTTACACAGGTTCAGTTATTAATACAGTGCAAAAATGTCTAAAAAGGTACCAGCCCACCTTCTACAAACTTAACAGGTCATTGAGAGAAAGTAAAAAGGAAAATCCACAGAAAATTATCAGCTTCATAAAGTGCCTAAAGCACTGCAAATCTTTAAGTTAATGAAGTTTATTCTTTGTGAATGTTCTTGTGCTGAGCTGCTGGGTGAGGAAAAGTTTCCAAGAGACTTATCTTGAAAAGTGACAGAATTAAGAAGATGCAATTCAAACAACATTAACCAGTTTAAAGTTGAACAAAAAGGGATGGATTCCTGTTTGGGGATTTGATTCGATACAGGCATAATCCCAAATTATGAGTCGGATTTCATGAACTCAAACTGCAAGTCATTCTTTTTTATTAAATCTTAAAGCACTGAGATCAATGTAAACTCTTCTGTTCCTCTTGCTGTTTCACCATAAGAAAACATTTAACTATATAAATACCACAGAGATGTAGAAGCCATTCTAAATACTAACATTAAAATAAAAACAAAGAAAAAAAATTGGTCCAACTGTGCATGCTCTGCCTCAGCCTGGAACCACAACTCAAACCTACTAAGTGCACAGATACTAACACACACGTATTAATCCACATAGATTCCTTAACATGATTTACACATAATACAGGAAAAAAAGCAAAACCAAAAAAAGGAGGTTGCAAAGGGATTAAGATGAAACAGCAAACCAGAGCTTTGTTCATTTAGTAGAAAAAAAATAAAATACATGAAGGCAGAACTGAACCAACTGCTTCTGCCTGATTTTATCAAAATAAATTTCAGGAAAAAGAAAATATTACACAAAACCTGAATTTATCCTATGTTAAATACACAAGCTACCTAAACACCTTGTTCTACCATTCTTACTGCAGAGCTGCTGCTAACGTCACCTGGCATGAGGATGTATTTGATTTATGATAAAGCAAACAGATGCTGGGGAGGTATCAGAACATTACAGTCTCTTCCAACCAGCTCAATACAAGGATGAGGAATAGAAAGCAGGCAATGGTTCGCTGGCCCAACACTCGCTACAGCAGGTGAGCTCAAAGCCTGCAGAGGAACAGTAAAGCTCTTCTGGACATTTTAGCCAGACTGAGGCTAAAAAGGTAGGAGCACGGAGTTGGGTCATATCACTGAGGTCTTTTCATAAAGTTCTGTCTATCTGTAGTATAAAATGCTTCATCCTTTCCCACAGGATGATTCCCCAAGGTAACCCAGCAGGCTGATACCCAGCTTATGCTCCTGGAAAACACAATCAGTCACCAGCTCCAGTACCCTTAACACAGTGCTAAATTACTACTAGCATCTTTCTGAGGCTTTTATTTTAAAAAAAAAAAAAAAAACAAAAAAAAAAACAAACACCTTGCAATCCAAACTTGTAGCTTGGTTCCTGCAGTCTCTAAAGGGTACCTTATCGGGTAAACCAGCCTGAACAGCATGAAAGCTGTTCACATCTCTGGGATCATCTGGGCATTCTAAGGAAAATGGTTGAATTTTGGCTTTGTTTCTCCATTTACACTCTGTCAGAAAACTAGGGTAACAAACAACTTTAATCCACTCCCTTATAACAGAAAATTATTCCCTTTTGGCACACAGCTCTAGTTGTTCTCTTAAATGGCCGGCTAAAATATTCCTCTATCATTCCTACTAGACGAATCCTCACAGTTTAAAGGATTTCATTATGTTACTCTTACAGTAAACGGGATAATATGGGATGGAAAAGAAAGAACTACATTTTACTACTGAAAAAAGCTCTGGCACCAAATCTTTTGCTGTCCTAAAAACTGTTCAGGTTGTAATGATCTGCCTATTGATATCGTTGCTGCAGTCAAACTGCATTACAGAAGTGATACTGAGGTACAGCACCACAGGTTTCTGATGCGGCAGTACACTGATACTAATCTTTGCATCATGAGACTGCAGGAAAATTGAGATACAAGAAAGTACTTTTGTTAAGTGCTTCTGCAAACTCAGGAAGACAACTTTGCATCACGTTAATCACTTTGCAACCACTAGAGGTAGAGACTATGCAAGAGGAATATAAATCTTTGGTGACATCCCTGGTGGAAGAAATGGGGCAACCAGAAAACACTTTCTTAAGAAAAAAAATTAAAAGGAAATCTAGAACCATACTGCCACAATAAGACACCAAAGAGTTCTCTACATCTTCTCAGTCTGAATGTTTACAACCCTTCAAGGACAGCTGCATCAAAATGCTATGCATTTTTTTAAACAGAGAGCCTGTGTTATTCATGTACATTCTAAAATGCTCCTATGCACCTCAATACATCACATTCAAGAATACCCAGTGCAGCAAATGTTATTCAGCTCTTGCATTCAAAAGTGCAAACTCATAAATTCATCATAGTCTAAGAACTCAACACCATTAACTAAAGGTGTTTTATATAACAAAGAGAACCTGCTCTTGCTTTCCATTATTGGTAATGGCTTTCTACCAACCATCTACACTTTTTTTTTTTAAATAAAAAGGTGAAGGAGTCAGTAGCCTGTCATAAGTACGCTTGGGAGATTTATTATCTGTACAGACCAAGCAAACGTGGAATTACCCTTACGCTAAGAGTGACCTTAACCAAGGAAATAAAGGCCGCTTGAGCTGAAAAGATCATTTATATTCACTTTGGCTTATTTTATGCTGCCCCAAGCATATTTGCAATTAACCAATGAGCACATACTTAACTACAATGCGCTGTTTAGCCAGGAGATATTTATAGCCTTTATGGTTTTTAGAAGACCCACAGTGTTTTCCTTTCCTCTCTTTCAAAACCTAGAAAAATTACCCTCAAGCTCATCCTAATATTTTTTTCCCACTGCTATTGAACTCACCTAATTATGGCAAACTACTCCTTTACTCACATTTACCAAGTATCTTAATGCTTAACAAATTCCATAGATAAAAATGTTACCCACCACTTTATCGTCACTGCATTATACAAGTTTAATTTTTTCAGAAGCATTGGCAAGGCAAGACGCTGACCTGCCAAACTATTACAAAGCCAGTAAGACAAATGGCAAAATGCTGTCTAGATGGTATTAGTCAAGGAGTAAAAGCCTACTGATGGCAAGGAGAACCTCCATCAGCTGATGGCACCTGACAAGATCTACCATGCACAACTACCACATGCCATGTTAAATACAGCTACATTCCTCACTGTGTGTTTGACACGATTACAGTATCCTACTTTACTTCAAGTTGCTTTGAAATATCCTCCTTGCAGTAACCACTGTCACAAATCTTTAAAAGCACCCCAAGCAATTTTTGTCCAGTTTAATTAAAAAAAAAGCAACAAAAAAAAAAGAAGAGTTGTAAAAACAGAATAGCAAACCCAAAGCTTTTTTCATACTCCACAGTCAGGCTGTTTCTCCATAAGTTGTCTTGTCAGTATCTGATAAGAAGAAAGAGATGCCACTCCTATGTGAAAGGCTATTTGCCAGAGGTTCCGTAATCCATACAAGTAAATGTTGCATAAACAAACAGAGAAAAGGAGTACAAATGTTTTCATCTTTCTTGCTGAGCTATAGAAGAGGTACAGGTAACACTGCAAAAGCACCAGAGAGACAGCGTTAGCATTAAACATTTTTACATGGAAAAGACGAGGGGTAATGGGCACAAGTTACTCCTGGAGACATTCTGATTGGATACAAGGAGAATTTTTGACAGCGAGAAGAATCAGCTACTGCAATAACCTCCCCAGGGATGTGATGGACTCACCAGCATTGAACACTTAAGATTTAGCTGGACAGGGTGCTGGGCCATCTAGTCTAGGTCATGCTTTGCCTAGAAATATTGAACCAGATGATCCTTCTGTTCCCTTCCAACCTGGTATTCTATGATTCTATGACACTATGCATAGATGAGATACACAGCTGAGAATTGATGGCACATCTGTGCCTCCTGGATGTGCCTGCCAGCACAGTGATCACCGAGAAGCCCAAAGTTTCCCTTCGACTCCTATGCTGAAAGGTCCTCCAGGAACAGCCAGAGTGGTGGCCTCAACCCAGAACCTACCAGCTAAACACAGATTATCAAAAAATGTCTGTCAGCACAGCTGGCATCCCTCCTGCCTGTCTCAGCCTGGACTAAAATGAGTCGAAAGCTGAACCAGCTTTCAAAAACTACCTATAATTTTTACAAGACAAAGGGTTAGAAGCCAGAAAACAGTAAACCCAAATCTGCTTCTGTCATATTTTTTGGGGGATAAGTAAAGGGCTTCATTCTCTAGACTTGACTCAGTTTCTGTTAACAGGTTCAGCTAGGAGTTAAAAGTTCTTTTTCCTTTTAAATTCAAGATCAGGTGGAACCTATTTGCTAAGTATGTGTGAAGAGCAACAACCCTTAAAGGAGAAAACTGAAAACTCAAAGTGCTGGCAGAAGAGTTACTTTCTTAACCCAGGCAGTAACAGATCATGCTTTCTCACTTAAAGTCACAGTTTCCAGCTGTGCTTATGACACAAGTAGAGATCAGCATGCAGAAAGCAGTTCACATTTAAGCTGAATTTATTAACAAGCATTTTGTAAAGATGACTGCTATAGATGAAAAGGATAAGAGAGAACTCTGTTTAGCTTCTCTAGCTTTTAGGTACTGACTGGAAAAAAAAAGCAGGTCAGAGCCTTTCTTTGTGAAGAATGACTTGCATCGAGTATTTAGATTCAAATCAGTATCTCCATCTTAAAGCTCTGCCATGAGCAGAGGAGTAAGAAGGCTGAAAGACAATATAATTTATCTATTACAATTCAATAACTAGCCGCTGTGCAAGCTTCAAATACCACAGATAAATAAGTCTCGAGACAGGGGTCCCCAAACCATTAACCAAATGCCTACAGCGTACTCATTGCTCAGTACTGTTGCATTATGTTACTTCTGTGAACTAGTAACCCAACCACAGCAGCTTCCTGCAGTGGCAGGATAAAAACTAAAGATTTTCCAAAGAACATACTTCCCTCAAGGTAAAGGTTGTGGACCACTGTTTTAGGCATTTTAAGAAACCTCTCAAAAAAACTCCATCTAGAGCAGATAATACTTCCTCATTCAAACTTTTTTTGCATAAGGAGGTCAGCACAAATAATCATAGAATCATGGAATGGTTTGGGTTGGAAGGGACCTTAAATATTCCATGGTTCCAACCCCACTATCATGGGCAGGGACACCTTCCATTAGATCAGGGTGCTCCAAGCCCTGTCCAGCCTGGGCTTGAACACTGCCAGAGATGGAGTATGCACAGCTTCTCTGGGCAACCTGTGCCAGTGCCTCACCACCCTCACAGTAAAGAGCTCAGATCATTTGGCAAGTCAAAACATGAAAACACTGAAAAGGCTTGCAACTACAGTTTGCCAGAGGTCAAATTGTGCCTTTAACTGTACTTGTGCCACTTCACTGGAATACCTTAGTGGAATCACCTAGGTAGGATACTAAATCCCAAACTGTTCCTCTGCTTATCTGAAAATTACTTTGTCTTGTATATTATAATATTAAAATAATAAGAAAGCATTTTATTTACAGTTAACATACCTGAAAAACACAGGCTAGAAAAGGTAGGAAAAAAGCTATCACATTTCCAATTCCTTCATGATCCTCCTGTTTAGATTAAAAGAAGTAACAAAACAACTGCATCAGGTACAGCTTTTAGCAAGTATTGCTTGATATTTTAGAATTCTGCATTTCATCAAGTACCTCTCATTCTAGTTTATGTTGATCAACTGTAACAGTGTTAAACAACAAGATCAGTATCACTGAATGCAATATGAAGAACTGAGGCTTAGGTGATGATTCTTGCTAAATAAAACTGCCACCATACAATCAAGACACTTTTTTTTCCTACTTTTTAAAAGTTGTGTAATTTTTTAAAGCATATGTGAAAATCTAAACAAAAGCATCTAGAGCAAAATACGAGAATTGGAAAAAAAAAAAAATCCAGCCAGCCTGGCAAGACTTAAATATTCCTCCAAATTTTAATGTCCCTAGAAAAGAATAAAATGCCATATGTTTCAATAAACAACAAAACACGAGGTCCAGCAGGTGAGCAATCAGCTGTGCATTCCCTGGACAAGCACCACACTTCGTGCGAGAAAGTGTATGCTCTACTAAGCAGCAGAAGAGCCACCCTTAATCTGGTTACCCAAATAATTCACTCCCTCTGACTCACACACAAGTTTCAATTCAAGCAGGGTTACCTGAAATGAATACTCTGCTAGGTGAACTCCTCGAATGAGATTCAAAGCTCCACACATGATGTTCAGAACAAGTGACAGAATGCCCAAGGGAGTCACACGCTGCATTCTGTAAGTAGGCACTTAAAAAAGGAAAAAAAAAAAAGAAAAAAAAAGAGACATTGAAAGCTCACAACACAAATTAGCTCATGCAGATTTTAAACATTTTCAAAACCTTTCATGCTTGCTCCAGAGAAGACCAATTATGACTAGAAAACTGTTTTTGTTGCAGTATCCTGCTTAGTTCTTCAGACATCTACAAATCATCAAAGCTCTGGAGTATTTTTTAGAGAGGTTAAGCAATAGAATTTGTTCTTGAGCTATTTCGCATTAATGTCTTCTACTATGGTGCACACAAATATTTTTCCACCGTTTATTACAGCAGATTAGCATACCTAGCACTCTTTACAGGTCAGTAGAAGAGTGAGACGCTTTAAGCACTGGTCTGGCAAAGAGCTTAAATTTTTGACACCCACAAAAGCAAGACAGCAATTCATCTCTTCCTCAACTGTGACTGACTGTGTCTGTGGGAAAAAGTAATATTTCTTCCCACCAAGCTCGAGGTTTCAGGCTGGTATACAGCAATTTAGTTTTTACCTGCATAGCTTCCACACAGCATTCGGTGCCCTAACCAAGCAGTTGACAGGACTCAGCTGTACAGCCAAGGACTTTCATGCTCTGCTGCTAGAACAGCTGTAGGAGTTGGCAGGAAAATATTACCTCGTCACAGCAAGGAAATGTCTGTCACAGAACTTATGGGCCTCTCAGACTGACAAAACATGGTCAAACCAAAATGTGATCAGCAGGTTGAGGGAGAGGATTCTCCCCCTCTGCTCTGCTAAGACACCCCCTGCAGTCCTGCATCCAGCTCTGGGACCCCCAACATAAGAAACAGAGCTGTTGGAGTGAGTCCAGAGGAGGTCAAAAAGATGCTCCAGGGGCTGGAGCACCTCTGCTATGGAGACAGGCTGAGAGAGCTGGGCTTGTTCAGCCTGGAGAAGAAAAGGCTCTGGGGAGACCTTAGAACAGCTTCCAGTGCCTAAAGGGGCTGACAAGAAAGCTGGAGAGGGGCTTTTGACACGGGCAGGTAGGCAGAGAACACAGGGGAATGGCTTTAAACTGACAGAGGGAAGATTCAGATTAGACATTAGGAAAAAAATTCTTCCCTGTGAGGGTGGTGAGACACTGGCACAGGTTGCCCACAGAAGCTGTGGCTGCCTCATCCCTAGCAGTGTTCAAGGACAGATTGATGGAGTTTTGAGCAACCTGGTCTAGTGGAAGGTGTCCCTGTCCATGGCAGAGTGGTTGGAACTGCATGAGCTTTAAGGTCTCTTCCAACCCAAACCATTCTGTGATTTTATGAAAATCGGGGTCTAGGAATTAAACTGGATGCTACACTTTTTTGTCTTTGAGCCACATTTTACAGTGCGTTACAGTTCCATTTCTCCATGTTTCACAGATAGTGAACTATATCTCCTTGCATTTCCACCTTCTCCACTACTACTACATAACACCCACACCTCCAAATATCATTTCTTCAGGATCATCTAATTGATACATACCTAATTAAGGTCAAAGCAATTATTATAAATGTGTATTTAACTTTGGAACCTGCCACTTCTAATTCAGCTTTGGTTGTACAAATCTCACCTATTTTTGTCCTAGCTGTGCTCGCTAACCCAACAACAGATGCCACACCTAGATACTCGCCTACATTTCATCCCTGCCCTTGGATCATCACAAGTAGAACACTGTCAGCATAGTAAACAGGAAGATAATCTGCAGCTCAGATATAAAATCCAGATCCTCTCCTGCACCAACATCCGTAAGATGCCGGAGAGAATGAATGAACCCTCATATTCTCAGGACCCTCAGCCTCCTACCCAGATGTAGCCAGCTCCTGACTACTGTAGATAAACTAAGTGACACACCAGACATGGTCTCTGGCTTTTGTTTCAGTGACATATGAAGCACAGTAACAGCCTAACATTGCAGTACTGAATGGTTTAAGACAGAAAAATGCTTTGTGTCTTCTCCTTCAAGAGAGATTTTGATGGATGTAAAAAAGTTTGTTGCCAAATTAATATAGGGATATAAAGTATCTTTCATTAAGTGTTGATGCAATTACCTTGTCTGGCATGCATTCATACATCCATAAATTAATCTCCAAAGCAGCTGCAAAAGGAACTGTATTAATTCAATTTGATATATGTCACATTATGAAGCATCACTGTATGTTATTGTAATACACGTTCATGTATATAAATGGTGCAAGTAACCCTATCATTCACAGGCAATTTTGCTTTTTTACCCCATGCAGTGAAATCTAAGGTCCAAACAGTGTGCTGGACAGAAGCTGCACCAGCATGTTTGCTCATGCACTGACCTGAGTATGAAGTTTCTGATTATTTTTGATAAATTAAGTAACGTTGCAGCTATATATCTCTCTCTCATGGAAACTTACTTATGAAGACTGCTGTTTCTTCTCTGTTTCAAAGGTTTACTTCAGAGGCACACAGTGTCTCTCAAAGAAAAATTATCAAGGGCAAGTGTCATTCATTGTATTTTGCAAACCATACATGTCAAGAGTTTCTATTCCCCAGGGAAAAACAATGCAAGTCTTGATATATTGCTTCTGTAGCAAAGAATATTATGTAAAAGTGACTAGTTTTGTTTTCTTCCTGTTGTCCAGATAAAAATAATTACTATCACGGACGCAGGGGAGATTACAACATCCAGTTACTCAGGGTTCAGATTCTGTGAAAACTGATCTCTAAATTGTTTGCTGTGGTGCTTTATTTCTTCTATACTATTCCGAGGTTTAATTCGCAAACTGAAATTTCACAGTACAAGCAAGACAGGTACTTCTAGGGGAGAAATTACTACAGTTGCTTGTGTGAATTCAATCATTTTTATAAACAGAATTTCATACTAAAATTCCTTACTACACTAAATAAGGAAACAAGAGCACTCTTAGCTTAAGAGAGGCAAATTTGCAGAAGCACAATTAAATTCTAATTTGGGTTTCAAACTGACTCCAAAGGAGAAAAGCTGTGTACTTCAGGATACAAGAACCATACAGAAGATGTTCTGGGGACTGTGGATTACCTAGCACTCAGGAAAAATGCATCTGCAGATTTGAACACTTACAGAACAACTCTGTGAAAATACCCTCACACAATGAAGAAATGGAAACCTCTGACTAGAAAAGATTTTCTGAGCAGAGGCCTCTGGCTATTTAACCGGAGACTGACACAAACGTCAGTACCACACTCCATCCTGTCTCTTCAAGGCACAGCACAGCAAGGGTTTGACAATGCATCACATACCCAAAGCTCCAGATAAAGACAACACCAGGAGTGAAAAATGAAATCAGACTCAAACATTTTAAAGTAAAATACAAGCACACAAGAGAGAAATACGAGACATCTTCAAAGCACACCTGAAAAAGGACCCTGTGAAGGACTCCCTGCATGCCTACAGAAGACTAAACATTGATCAAGGGGAGCATAATGCTCCATAATTTAACAGCATGCTTACTAGACATATAGCACAAGTTGTTGTTCTACTTCACAGAGCCAATTCTGATGCAAAAACTCTCCCTCTTCACAGGAAGCTACTTCAGATTTCTTCTGTATATAGACCTCACTATATTCAGAAGTTCTACCAGCTGTGCTAATACCAAGAAACAAGATGAGACTTTTGCAACAGCAGCTTAGGTTGTGTAAATGTGGGTCAAGTATATGGTGCTAACATTGTTCTAGCAAGAATTGGGCTGGGTTTAGTTAAACAAAGGAAGGAACAAACAGAAGGAAGAGTGGGAAAAAAAAGTAAAAATAAAGCTCTTATTCCCATATATACTAACAAGGACAAAACTACCCTGACTTTGCAGACTCCTTTCACACTAAAATGAAGAGTGATCACACAGCTCAAAATAAGACAAGAACCAGCTACCACCATGTAAAGAGATTGATGTTTTGATCAATCCACTGAGTGATCTATCCTCACTATAGAATACGGACACAATTAAATTCTGCTCTCCTGCAACCATAACACTTCCAACATATGCTCAAGAAATCTCCTACAGAGAAGAGCCGTAACATAAATAACGTTAATATGGGAATAAACACCATCTACAGAGTTAAACTTAGAGCAGTAAAGTGGTAATGATGAGAGAGACATAAGCCAGGAAAGCTGACTCCATCTGAGGAAAACAGATGATCATAAACATGATCCTTAAAATGAAGGTAGAATGATGTGTAAGAGTATTTGCATTAGATCAGAGAGAACAGCCAGAAATACAAAGCCAGATGAAAAGTAAAAGAAAGCAATTAAGAATATGGGGGAACTGAAAATGTATTTCTGATCTGTGGATACAGACTAGTTTGCAAATGTTTACCGGCACCAAAACTGTTTACACTAATGCAAAACACTTCTAAACCCAGTCACATCGTTAAAATATTTAACCTTCAAGCTCTAAGGCGCACTCGCAAATCTGTTTTCAATTCTATTTTTTTCTTCTTCCTAACCACTGCCCCTTTGTATTTTAACTTAAAATATGAACAGAGTCCAGCTCATTCAGCAGAAACAACAAGACTGAGCAACAGAAACTTCATTTTATCAGTGTTGTATAAGCCAAGAACACCACAGAAAGAGTAGATACAAGCTCAAGGTTCTCCAGCTGCATTTAAACCACCATGCTAATACAATTAAAACTGAGACATAATTTAGTGGTGGACTTGGCAGTGTTAGGTTCACAGCTGGACTCAATCTTACAGGTCTTTTCCAATCTAAATGATTCTATGATTTCATTTTATAGAGGAAGCAGGCAGGATTTTGAGTAGGCAACTGAAAAACAGATAGGAAGATACCAATTTTACAATGAATAAGTACAGTTTAGTACTTGGAAAAGCAGACAGAATCACAGAATGGCTTGGGTTGGAAGCTCGTGTAGTTCCAACCCCACTGCCATGGGCAGGGACACCTTCCGCTAGACCAGGTTGCTCAAAGTCATGTCAGACTTCATTACGAAAAGGTCCCTCATCAAGCCTTTATGTGTTGTTTATACAGATATACATATCCTCTTTTCAGATTTTTAGTAAAAAGCATTTTATGTTAAAGAATAAGGTAAAAGGAGAAAGCAAAGCAGGGAGAATAACCCAACATGGAAAGTCTGGGAATGAGTTTTACCCTCAGCTCATAATCCTCTAAACTTTTCTTTCCTCAAGCCTGAAGCAACTCAGTCAGACTGTAATTACGTATCTTCCATTAGAATCTGCAACAAGCCGGAATTAGTTGAGCTTCTTTTGTCAAGAGAAAATTTAACAAAGAACTACTTAGAAGCACGAGAATGTAACATGCAGAATGCCAAGTCCAGTTACAACCAACTGTCCATAAAGAAAAGCTGGTCTAAGACTGGAAAGAAAGATACTACCATGAGTCCTTAAATGCTCTGATGCATACCTGCTATATTGTTGTTAACTATGATAGAAAGGCAGTCAGTCTTTTCTTGTGTTTCAGGCACATGATATGTATATTTCTCAGTACAAAGTGAACTGGTGCTGTTACAGGTTTTTTTCTACTGTTTGCAAAGTTAGGTTAAGGAAGTCTACTGTCACCTGTGTGTAGTAGTAACTTACCAACCTCCACATGAACACCTGCATGCCCACCATTTGCCATCCCATTCATCAGCTCCATATCCTCTAGTTTCAGCTGAACTGGGGGCTGGAACTTCAGCTCCTCCTCAATCTTCTCCCAATTGTCCTTCATTTGAGAGCGATTTGCACCATTAAAACGGCATTTCACTTTCTGAATAATGTTATCTGAAACAATATAAAAACATGCTTCAATTAGCTTTGCAAAAGTTAAGTGCTTCAGGTAATTATTAATCAAATCACGGCACTCTTTTTAATTATTTTTCATTTCTTCCTTCATTTCTTTTCTTACTCATTTCAGGTGTAGAATTCCACTCCTGGTTAGGGAGAAAAATATCTCTCCTAGGTATTTTATATCACACCCACTCCCTTCTGGATACTTTAAATCTCAACATCCTGCCTGCAGTGGATTGAAAACAAGTTTTGATATTCCAGACTAGATTTAACACATATCTTAAACTACTCATGAACTATATGAGAAGCAATTCCACATTGTGTTTTAACAACATTAAGGATTAGGGTTTTTCTCCAAGCACAGAAATAAATTAATTCAACTTATATTTGAGTCATGAAGCAACTCTGACTGGCAGAGTCAATTCCACAGCAATTCTACAAACATCCAAGCCACACACCTACGTAGCTCAGCCTACTTCATCTCTCACACTTCAAATTTAATACCATTTGCTAGCAAATCCCTTTCCACAAATGTGGCTGCTGGTTTGACAGGAGTTGAACTCAGTAGAGAATTTTTCTAAGTACTTACTACTCATACCTCCAGAAATGAAGTATCTCACTGTGGATACTTCCCTTTATTGTGCAAAGATACTGGCAAATTCAAGCTATTTCAAACGCTTAGAGAAATAAAATGCAAAAACATTTATTTTCCTAAGATATCCTTTAAGTAAAATCCATATCTTTAAGATATTGTGACGCTAGAAGATTTGCATAGGTTGACCACAGCTGCTCCTGGATACGATACATATGTAGCAGCTTAAGAACAAGTTCCTTAAGGAGGACTTCTGTGTCGAATACACAACGCCATAAGCAGCCCTTGGAGAAAAATCCTGTATTTTATCTTAAGTAAGTCTGCTAAAATCAGCTGTAGCTACCAGACAAAAGGCTACGATCTTAGGCATTAAGTGGATCTTAGCTTCAAACACAGAAAAGTGACCAGGGCAGGGAGGGTGGTGAGGAGGTGAGAGGAAAGGAGAGGAGGGCTGGAAATCACACAGCAACCTTAGGTAGACTCAGTACAAAATGCTGTACAGTAAGAGAAATTAAGAAAAGGGTTTTTTTTTTTCTTTCTTTAAAAAGAGACTTAACGCAATTGAGAAGCTAGACATTCCCAAATTCCTATTCAAGTTTGTTTGGTTTATTTTGTGGTTTGTTTTTTTTTTTTTTTAAAGACAGCAATTTGGATCTTCGTACAGAATTACATCACGCCTAGAATGTGCCCTGCAGGGAAATCCACCCAAGGCAGCTGTATGTATCATACACTTTCCTTGTAAATTTCCCAATCTTTTAAGCATGAGCTTAACACTGTTGCTGAAATCTGGATTGAAGTGTGCTAACCACTGCACTGTTTCATCCCTTCCTAGGAAACAGTTTCTCACTGCAAGTGGATTGCGTTTTATAAAGGTAGGACGTACAGTAGAGCAGCTCCTCCTTGGCAAGAAAACCATTTATTTCAGATTAAAAAAGAAACACTATGCATGATTATGAAGCATTATGTAAATTTAAGTCATGCCGTAAGTAAAGCTGCCCATAATAATCTATTCTGTCTCCCTTTTTTCCTGTACCCATCTATCCCCACTTGTCAGATATTTTTAATTAAGTTAAAAGTGTTTGAGATAAGGATTTCTTTTTCTTCCTGTGCTCGTTTAGTAATCACCACAGCACTTTGTTCATCTATTAAAGGCACTGTAAGGAACTGCAACAGTCTAATTGTTTAAGACAAATACAGGCTCTCCCTGCTACTCCTACACATGCAAAGGCACACACAGAGATTCATTTTCACAATCAGGCTTTGGCCAGGAGACACTGTTTAACATCATAAAAGTAGCAGACACACAATTAATTAATTCTCTATTAGAGAACAAAGTTACAAACCAAATTCAAGAAAAGCATATGGTCTGGAAGCTAAACCAATGCTTGTTATATCATAGGAAGCAGCAAATTCCCACTGAAGCTCCTCCAGGAAGCAAAACGCCATGACAGTTGAGTAAGTGCTGGAACAGATTGCCATGCAGGCAATATCCCCAGAAGAAAGGAAACTGAAATAGAGAAAAAAAAAAAGAAAAAAGTAATATCAACATAAAAAGGCAAGAGAGTCACGCTGAATGCAAGAAGTAAACTGTGCTTTCTGTCAAAATGAAATGTATGGACTGCGCTGAAAGAGCAGACTGCAAAAAATATACGGTTTGCGCTGCTGTAACAGTCATGCAGCCCCTGCAGATCTAATATCTATTCTTAACTCATTCAGTATGCCTTGGCATAATAAAGATCACAATACAGACTTTATGAAATCGCTCCATTAGTAAAAATTACGGACATTATTTTCCCAGGCTGCCTTTAAATCACATCAATAAGAAAAGAGATGGCCAGAAAACATCACTGGCAAGAAGGTTTGGAAAGAAAACACAGTGGCTTTCCACAAACAAAACTAAACCCAAGCAAGCTTGTTCACAGGAGGTAAGCAGATATATTCATTGCTCTCTTTGAATACAGCAACTTCATCTTAACAGCAAGAGATATTTGTTAACTTGCCCATACCAAGATATTCAAACACTGTTACTGTGAAATCATTTGTAACAAATAAAGATGAGTTCAGATCAGATACAGCACAATAAAAATTGTACTCCAAAAGGGGTCCTCCTAACGCTGAAGCCATATTTATGCAGAAGTTTCCACTTGAACATGGCCCAAACAGGGTATTCATCTGACCAAAACACAGGTGTGTTATTTAAGAATGAGAGAAATTACTCTCATCTAGGCTTCCTTAAACAAGATGGGAGCCAGGGCACCTAGTTTGCATGTCAGCACTACAAGCAGACGGCTAAACTTCCACAATCCCCACCATAATTACAGATTCGTAAGCATCTCTGACAGAAGACTGAGGAAATCTTTTCTTACACATTAGCCATTTTTAGATCAGTATAAAATCAAAGTCTTGGAGCTGCACAATTACTCTCTGTATTTTTTCTCTTTTCCACTATTTATATATATATCATCCCTCTCAAAGAAATACTTGTTGCTTCTATTTTATCACATTTTTATTTATTCATTATATCATGTACTTGGGATTTATGGTTTTGGTTAGCTCTGTGACAGCCTAGTGACGCTGCGTAGGTTCCCTAAATTCCTTTTGTCTCCAGCTCACAGTTGAGGACCAACACCACACCTTTGTAAAACTACCTTTTCCAAGCTGTCAATAATTTATAGCCTTTTTGCCATGTATCTGTATGCACTCATTTCCAAGCCCAATGCATAGCTACTTCTGCAGCAACTACAGAATGTTAAAAGCAGAAAACATTAGCATTAAAGGGCACAAGTTCACTTTGAGGGAAAAGGAATTAAAATGCTAATCTTTGGTTTTCCAACTGATTCAGTGTAAGTTCAAGTCTACTTTCTCCAACCATTCCCGCAGAAAGGGGTAATTTTAGTTGTGTTAGTTTAAGTTTTCTAATGTTTGCTAACCAAACAAGCAATCACAAGCTAAAACTTAATTTTTAATTTCTTAAAATAAAGACTATCATACCCTTGTCCAATAAATAAAACCAAAGATTTATAATTTGTCCACACTGGCTACTGTCAGCATGCTTCAGGCCTCCTCAAGACATATCCATCAGCCAGAGGTCTAGACTCAAACCCTTCTGGTATTTGGAAAACAGAGTGGGCAGTATGCAGGAGAGAGGCACGGCAGTTCTGCGCAAGCCAGAATCAGATGACAAGGAACTGGGGTTTAGACTAAACTAATTAATTCCTAGGCATTAGGACGCTGTCTTAGAAGGTGTTTGTAGAAGTCCAGGATATTCCAATTGCTAATAGTAACAAGTACTGCCCATTGAGCACAAAGCATCTGCTACAAAAATGAAAACTAAAATAAGCAATTCTTAACATATGCTTACTAAACTGAGTAGGAGCTGTGTGGCTGTGGTGCTGAGAAATAAGGTTTCGAAATACTTGGAGGTTATCTAGAGATGAGCGGTGAATTTTCAAACTGGAGTTAGGCACTATGGAATATACCTAAAGTTTAACTAATCCCAGGTCTAACATTTCAAAACTTGGAAGTAAAAAAACACAACCAAACAAAAGCAGCAACTTACTGTATGCTCAAGTCATGTCCTTTTACTGTGCCTCGACTTGGATACTGTGCCAGAATTGAGGATAACACCTTCAATCTCTTTCTGCATTCCAGAAAGTCCTGGTTGAAATGAAAATCTGTGGAGGCTGAGAGGGGAAGTCCATCCCTCACCCGCACCACACAGGCAAAAAAGATCATGGACATTCTCCACAGGAGTACTCATGAGGACAACCTGAAAACGAAACACTGAATTAGGTTAATGGATGTGATATTAGTTACTTACAATTAAGTATGCTAGCCAGGAACATGTCGAGGTAAGCATTCATTCACCACTGCTACTGAACAGTAGCTCTTGTAACACCACTGCAAACAAAAGGCAATTAAACTGCTCTCAAAGGTCACAGCTGCATCCATTTTTTGCCTCTCAGACAAACAGGTGAGGCAGGAGATTTGACAGAGGAATTATTTACCTGAAAAATAAAACTATTTTTCCTCCTTCTGCTTTACCTCAAGCACCAGAAATGCTGAGCAAAGTTCTTAAAGGTATTTATGGAAAGTGGCTAACCCCCTCTGACACAGCATCTTCACTGGTGTTGCAAATAGCTGCACTAGTGTTGCAGTTATTTTCTAGTATAACAGATATAAAAATAATTTTCAGGTTACAGCCCGTCAGGCGCTTTTTACAGAATCAACTAGGACTAAATATAGAATAAAAGTTGCCCTCTCTTGACTTCTTACTTTTAACAGATCACAATGTCCCATGCAAAGTTATTACTGGGATTTACCTGGTACATTCAGAACATAAAAGAGATCTGTCCTTCAGACATACCAGGAGTATCCGTGCGAGATGTTAGAAAGCCAATGCAGCAACTCACATAATCTCTGAAAGACAACCATAAGGAACCATTTTAGAAAATGAACTAATGATTTATATGTCTATACATATTTACAATGTAAACTCTCCCATGCAGTGGGTAAACATGTCCTAGAAAGTATTTTGCCTACAGAAAATCAGACAAGTAAATTTCTTATCCAATATATCAATTCCTAGATGCATTCAGAGACACTATGAAATGATATGCAAAATATTTCTGATGTCCCACTCTCTGTTTCTTAGTTATCCTAGCATGCTATAAAAGACCAGCTCTAATTCAGGCAAACTCCATAAAGGAAGCATTAGGGAGGGGAAGGAAAAAAAAAAAAAGGGGGGGGGGGTGTGTGTTAAAAAAAAAAAAAAAAAAAAAAAATCACACTGTGAACTCAAAACTTTAACAGTGGGAATGGCTGCTTCAAACAGCCTGCTAGCAAACGATTTGTTAAGATGCTCAAAGTTTCTTTGAAACATGCATCTCATCAAGTGTTTTTCTTTTTTGAGAAGGTAAGAAAGCAAAGCATCTCTCCTAGTTCAGGATTTCATAAACTACTCTGTCTGTAAAGCTTCTCTACCATCTCATACAGGTTAAGTTTTTACCACACACAGCACTAAGAGGGTCTCATTTCTGCTCAGAACAGCACAATTTTATGGTCAACGGTTAGTTAACACTGATGAACTGCAACTTCAAAATACCCCAGCTGATGAACGCCACAGAGGCAACACACTGAACACTCTCATTTACCTTTCAGAAACTAGCTGAAGATGAACAGGAAAATGGAAAGGCACCAAACTTTGAAACCAAAGGTATTTTAAAGAAATGTACCCAGCCTATGAAATTATTCAACTCGCTATGCCACTAACAGCAAGTGTTTAAGATTAAATATATATATATATATATATATATTCACTAGGGATACCACCTGTAGTTAACCAACTGCATACATCAAGGTATACAAACTTCTAGGACACACAAACCTTCATGCTTCAGGTCATGAGGCTTTCACTAAATATCAGCTACCCACAGAGAGATGCTCTGTTCTCCTGTGAAAGATCTGGTATCAGGCAGACTTCCAAATTAAATGCCAGACCTTACTGAAGCAGTCGATGCTCCTTTCTTGGAGAACACACCTGCTGTAATGCAGGGTCACACTATCACTGCTTTATTCAGCCACAAGGCTTGATCTATTTTATTAAAAAAAAAAATCTATGATAATTTTAAATCTATGATTAATTTCATAAATCTTCCTGCCTATGAATTTTTAGGTGTGCTGCCTAAGGGAATGAGGCTTACACAACGGAACTGTGAGTGGGATAGGTATCTTATGTGCCCTTTGGTTTGGTGAAAATAGATAAATCTGTATAAAAGAAAGGTGCATCCCCAACAGAGAGAAAGGCTGATGCAGTGACTCAAATCTTAACAGTGAGCAGGTGAGCACAACCTCGGGGCAAAAAAAAACTGGAAACGTGTTCACTGGTTCTGCTTCCTACAGAGCTCTCATTTACATCGCCTAAAGGAATGTCGGTGTAGGTAACACCCTATTCTCCAACAGAACAAAGAGGTGTGAGATTTAAGAACAGTACCTGTAAAGACTTAGAATCATAGAATAGTTAGGATTGGAAACGACCTTAAGATCATCTAGTTCCAACCCCCCTGCCATGGGCAGGGACGCTTCACACTAAACCATCACACCCAAGGCTTCGTCCAACCTTGAACACTGTCAGGGATGGAGCATTCACAACCTCCCTGGGCAACCCATTCCAGTGTCTCACCACCCTAACAGGAAAGAATTTCCTCCTTATATCCAATCTAAACCTCCCCTGTTAAAGTTTAAACTCATTACCCCTTGTCCTGTCACTACAGTCCCTAATGAAGAGTCCCTCCCCAGCATCCCTATAGGCCCCCTTCAGATACTGGATGGCTGCTATGAAGTCTAAGGACTTCTGAGGAGTTAAAAAAAAAAAAAAAGCAAACCCAAAATACAAAACAAAACAAACAAAAACACTAGTCTTTTATAGTTCCAGGGTTTGTTTGAAGTGTAGCACAGGCTTAGCTAACAGAGGTGAGAGCCAACATTACCCCACAGAAAAGGGTAAAGCCTAAAAATAAATCCATGCTGCTAGTTCACCTGTTTTCTGTGTAAATCTTCCCACCAAGCACGGGAGACTCGGAGATATCCAGCCCTCTCCCTTTCTTTCCCACATTCTCCCAGCCCACCCTCTGGCACTACATCTCAATGAAGCTTTGGGATTTGCTTTTCCTTTTTCACAAGACTTTTACTGCTTGCACATCAGAAGGTGTTTCATGCCCATGGCAAATAACAGTTTCTAATATCACTGCCCTTAAAAGCTTAATGACTGTCAAGCCAATTTTGCCACGTCACACACCAACGTGTGTGAACACACACTATCAAAATTTACTGGACTGATCAAGGTGCCCACATAACCAAGTGAATATGATCTTACTATTTCAGGTTGACCAACCCTTCTCTCCTCCAGCCTCTTTCTATTTGCAGTATCATTAGCAGCCCAAAGTATCTGCAACTGACTTTACGTGGCAGGCCTTTGAACTCAGTACTGAACTTTGCCAACATACTTGTGTCTTTGATTAAGAGATATCAAATCTTGCTAAGCTCAGAATTAACAACATCATGTCAGTCCAGCTACTTTACTGGCACAAAGTATGCAAAGTCTTGAGAAACTTTTTAAGCAGTTGTTCAGAAGAAGGAGTTTAATTTATGACCAAAGTAAACACAGCTTTCTTCACTTTTTGAAGCACCTGTAGATTTAACAGCACTTCAGAAGAAAACTGTTCAGTGCAAGACTCTCATGAGCTATACATGTTTAGCAGTCTTATAAGAAACAAGACTCTTCAAGGTATTCCCACAGCAGGAATCTGAAGCACAGTTATTCCATCCCTCGCTTCCCAGGTAGCGGCCAACTATCTCCAGTGACTAGACAGGGATTACTAAAGCCGCCTTAATCAGACCTCTTACACTTTACTATACTATTATGCAAGCTCCTCTACACAAGATGATTAGAGGATTTACAAGCGCCACACTTCTCGGTCTGCTAGACAAACTCCTGCTTTATTGTCTGTACTTAGAAAACAATCTACTCAAAAGGCTACTAAAGCAAATGCAAACCATAGTTCAGGAGGGGAATTATTAAAAAAAAAAAACAAACACTGTTCTTTAAGAAATTATTTTATCGCACCATCAAAAGAAAAGTTTCTTTCTAAGAATGGCACAACACTGAGAATGTCTTGTTATAGGTATTTCTCTCAAGCATTTGTCTTCTCTCCTACTCGGACACATTTCCCCTTTTTGTAGGCCAGTTTCAAACCCAACAACATACAACCATTTTGTCAAGTTCTGCTCTTCCTACTGGAGAAAGAGCTTAAAGGTTTAGCAAATGTAACCACAGCTTGGAGGCTCCCGAAGCACTCTGAAGTTTTCTGGACATGGGATAGCTTGATATACAATCATAACTACTGGACCTAATGCATCTTTCCCCAGGCAGGTAAGCTTCAGAAGGAGTCACAAAGCTACAGGTGGGATGCCAGAAGACAAAAGAGATTCAGCTTGACTCAATCAAACACAAAACATTTAATAGTGACGCAGTTCAACTGGTGGTTTCAGTCTCAACCAACAAGAAGCAAAAAGGAACTGAGACATGGTTCACTTCTCTGTATGATCATGAGGTGGAATTTTTTCCACTTCTTGCATACATAAGATAGCAAATATGAAATGCTGTTAAATTTCTTATCTTCTAATACTGCAGTAATGGTATTCATTTGCTACTTCTAAACTGCTCTCTCTGAATGCTCACAACAATGCTCACCACGCTACAGATACCACTGACCCACAGTACAGCAAAAGCCACTCTCCAGATTTAGCAGTGAACAAAAACAATTTGAAAGCACGTTACCTTAGCTTTTAAAACAGGATTTGTGGATATCAAGAGCTTATAGGCTCCTGTAAACCCCATATGCTTCAACTGTTATCCCCAAAGGGAAGCTAAAGCCCTTTCCATCACAAATCTCTTGTTTACACATACTTTCCTATGAGTTACCAAAAATAACATGTTACACAAAACTCGAACCCCAACATTCAGCTTCCCCATCAACCACACTACCTCACTGGACAGTCCTCCTAATTGGCCAAAACACACTGTAACAACTCTATGACGCTCTGAAGCTCTCTCTACATTAATCTCTCAGAAACATCATCCACCTTATCTGCTCCTGAACACGCACCCATCCTCACCAACCTACACCCTGAGGCCTCCTGAAGTCCACCAGCTCATCTCCGTACCTTCACCAGCCACATAACTAAGGACCCTTCCCACATCCATCCTGTTCCACCCATGACACTAAACATACCTGAACACTAATCACCCCTCTTCTCCAATTAAGAGTCCCAAAACCCACACAAGCAACCCCTTTCCACATTCTTCAATAAACCCAGACCCCTTGAAATCAACCCCCCATCAGGGCATTTCTTTGTACTGAGGAGTCTCCCCATACACCCCTCAAGCACCCAGACACTCCCAATTATGACTCCCACCCTGATGTACAGCAAAGACTCAGTCCCTCATGGGTCCCAGAGGTGAGATCCAAATCCCTCAGATCACAAGCCCTCCTCAGTCTCAAGTCTTTCTTCCCCTACACCCCTCAAGCACTCCAAAGAGCCCCCAAATCCTACACTCACATCACAGAATCCTGACCCCAATACATAACCCCAAACCCCTCTTCCAAAACCCCACTCAAGCACCCCAAGCCTTACTTCTCTACCAGAGGACCCCACATCATCTCTCTCTCCCTCTCTCTCTCACACACACACACACACACACACACACACACACGCGACACCGTTTATCCGCAGCCCTAGGGACCCAGAACAGTATGGAAAAGGAAAGACACCCCACACGCACACACGCCACCAGAACCCCCCCTTCACTCACCTTTCCCCACTCCTCGCCGCGGCCTCGGGCCTTTCCCTCCGTGCAGCGCCAGCAACACCACAACACACCCAAGCCCGCCCCCTTCCGCCTACAGAGACTGTGGAT